ACCTAGGGAGGATTTTATTTGGGGTTTATCTTTTAACAATTTGACAGAGACACAACTTTAAAATTTGATTTAATTCGGTTTTATCGGGGGGGAATGTATTTATGTTTTGTTTTAAATATGTTGTGCGCCGCCCTGAGTCCCGCTGGGAGAAGGGCGGCATATAAATTAAATTTATTATTATTATTATTATTATTATAAGTCAAGGACTACCTGTAAGATAGAATATCTAGAACTAATATCTAGAACGAAGGAAGAATTTCCTGACAGTTAGAACAATTAACCAGTGGAACTACCTGCCTCCAGAAATTGTGAATGCTCCAACACTGGAGGTTTTTAAGAAGAGATTGGACTGCCATTTGTCTGCACTGGTGTAGGGTTTCCTGCCTGAGCAGGGGGTTGGACTAGATGACCTCCAAGGTCCCTTCCAACTATTATTATTATTATTATTATTATTATTATTATTATTATTATTATTATTATTATTATTATTATTATTATTTATCATCGCACAGTCAGCCAGATATTCAGACTGGATTTGTCATTTTTGTCTACCTATCGAGTCTTTATCAAGGACCTGGGATAGGCAGATGTGGATGTTGGATGGTATATTACAGATCCTGTCGCAGGATGGAAGCAGTTCCTAGTAAGGCCGCCTTTTGCAATTGACTAGTGGCGAATTTGTCAATGCCGATGATGGTGTCCAAGTGGTGCTCCAGTTGTTTTGGGATTGCACCCAAGGCGCCTATGACTATTGGTACTACCCTTGCTTGCCTTTGCCACATCATCATTATTATTATTATTATTATTATTGTTATTGTTATTGTTATTGTTATTGTTATTGTTATTGTTATTGTTGTTGTTGTTGTTGTTGTTGTTGTTGTTATCTTCCTAAGTGGTACTCGGTCAATTTCTTCCTAGACTAAGCTGAAAGTTTTTATTTAAAACAAGAGGAGAAATTCATAAGCCCCCAAATGCTTATATTCTGTAGTAATGACTAACAAGGAAGGAAGAAATTAAATATCGCACCATTAACTGTTTCCCAAAGGGGCGAAAGCAACACTAAACATCCCTCTTGCTATGCTGAGCGGGAAAAATAAAAACAGGAATTTCAAAATAGAAATCTAATGATAAGCACACTCTTGAAAAGCCCAATAGGGTTTTTTGCCAATCCAGGCCAGGCCAGCTAGCGTAAAAATTGATTTTTATTCATTTTATTTTATGGCTAAAAGAGAAACATTACAAATTAGGTCTGAAAATGTTAAGGAATTGTAGAAAAAGCATTGGGATTTGGCAAGAAAATTCCTCTGGCTTCTATAAAAATAGATTAATTGCAGAGAAAACATTGCATGGGGGGAAAAATACACAAAACAAAATAAAGTATAAGGAACTGGTGTTTAGCCATGGATGGACTAGCAGAGAAAGGAGAAAATGAACAACAAATAATCTGCTTGCTTCAGCTGAGCATGGCTGCATGCCACCTTATCAACTATCAAAAGTTTTAAATAAATAAAGTAGAAGCACTTTTGCATTAAGGATGATCAGACTGCAGGAGGGCAGCTAGAAGTCCTCTGAGCATGTTTGGAGTGTGTTTCTTGACACCTGTTCACAGATGGAAAAGAAATTGGGAAATCACAGACCGCTTATCAACCTGTAAGGGAAGTCATGGCGGAGAAAATTCCTCTAAGATTCGGAAGTAAATTTTTTAAAAACTGAATATATACTTCTAATTCATAAAAAAAATGGGCTGCATTCTATTAAGAGCGGGTAGATAAACAAGCTCAACACCATGGATTTATTTATCCAGAATTATGCACTGGTTCCTCTCCTTTTCTTTCATTTATCATCTCTCTCTCTCTCTCTCTCCTTTCTCTCTCTCTCTCTCTCTCTCTCTCTCTCTTCTTTCTCTCTCCTTTCTCTCTCTCTCCTTTCTGTTTCTCTCTTTCTCTCTCTCTGTCTTTCTCTCTCTTCTTTCTCTTTCTCTCTCTTTGTCTGTCTGTCTGTCTGTCTGTCTCCTGATTTTGCTGAATTTTTGCAAGAAATCTTCGCTGAGGACCATTTTAGCAAGACCGGTAAAAGAATATTTGTGATAAGAAAGGAAGAATGGTGAAGGAACAGGGAAAGAAAATGATCTTGAGCAAAGAGGAGACGTGGGAAAGAGAGGCGTGAGGTGTGCGCCTACCACACTGCTGTAAATCCACTTTCTCGTAAGGAACATCGTCGTAAATCACTTCATCGTCTACGGAGGGGAAAGTAAACTGATCACCTGGAATAGAGAACGACACAAGGTAGGGAGGGCAACTGAACCTAGGCTGAATCTGACCACACGGAAGCCAACGACAGCGAAACCGCCATGAGGACTAGAAACTTGGCCCGGTGGAACTGCACAGGGAGCAACTCGGAGCGATGCATCCCACACTCAGCCATCAGTAGAAGACAGGTCCTACCTTGAGATGAATGTCTTCGCTT